AGCAGGTGCACGCGAGCCGTAGGCGCAGACGCGGGGAGCATGCGAAGTACGCGAGCCGCATGCGGGGCGGGCAGGGTAGGCACGGGCGTCCGGGTGTCCAGGTCTAACCACGTCCATTAGTATTTCTTTCGGAAACGCATTAACCCGAGCGTCCGACGTCCGTACGCTGCACCCGCCCTCTGCGTCACTACCGCTCATGCCACCCCCACCCGGCCCTATGTGCGCCACGGCTTAGCTCCGCTCCGTCGGCGAGCTCACCGATGACCTCCATGCGTCACCCACCCCGCCCTCTCTGAGCACCGCCACCCGTGCTGCCCCCACACTCGCCTTCTATGCGCCGCCGCACAGCTCCGCATTGCCAATGACCTCCATGCGTCACCCACCCCGCCCTCTGCGAGCACCGCCACCCGTGCTGCCCCCACACCCACCTTCTTTGCGCCGCCGCACAGCTCCGCGTTGCCGGCGAGCTCCGTGCCACCGGCGATTACACCGGTGACCTCCATGCGTCGACGAGCCTCTATTTGCGAAACAACAAGGAGATGTTTGCGCTGAAAGAGCATGTTACAGACGTATGTTTTCAAGTGTTTCAGAGTATGTTGCAAGTGTTTATATCGGTGTTGCAAAAGTAGATCGTGATGTTGCTCATGTTACAATGAATAAAATACGCATGTTTTCAAGTGTTTCATGTGTTTCAGACGTATGCTGCAAATATTTTCATCTGGATGTAAAGTAGATCTCAGTGTTGCATACGTTGCAATGGCTATACACGCATGGTTTAAGTGTTTCATATGTTTCAGACAGATGTTGCAAATCTTTCGTCTGCATGTTTTTAAAGTAAATATGGTGTTGCACGTGTTGATATGACTATACACACATGTTTCAAGTGTTGCATGTGTTTCAGACCTATGTTGCAAGTGTTTTATTGGACGTTTTAAAAGTAGATATCGGGGAAGCACTTGTTGCTACTGCACCGTCATGGGTCACCGCGCACGCCTGCTGGTGATGCTGTGCTGCTGCGTGCATGCGGGCGAGTGAAACGGAGCGGGCTCGGGTGGTCCCCGCACATGCGTGGGCCCACGGGCCTCTGGAGTAGGATGGGTGCGGGGCGAGGGAGCTGCATGAGTCAGGCGCAGGGGCGGGAGCATCGTCCGACGCTAACGTCCTGGATCGGATGTCCGGCGCTAGTGAGTCCATATTTCTTTTAATCATCTTCATTAGCTACCGTTGAGGATTCAAAATTTATAACAAAATATATAAGGTACTCTAGGTCTTTAACCTCCTCTGTCTTTATTAACCGGATACCGCTTTCCTTCTACATACGTCATGCATGTAAAAATTCCTTTTAGACTAAGAAAACAATAACTGAGCTACTCACTCGATCACACCCTCCTAATTAGTGAGGAGTACTGTTGTTGTTGTATTTTGCTAGACTCTTTATTTTATCAAAAAATCGATTTGATTTCTTATATTTTATGATGGAGGGAGTATTTAAAAGCTCGTGCAGTTCACTTTTTAAAGTACATGAATCACCTGGTAACTTTTTTTGGATAGTTTATGAGTTCTGAGAACATCTTCCGATGATATGTACAAATATTTCCACAGGACTACTAGCCCATGTTGCCATACAAACATTTTATTAACCCATTAACATTCTTGATATTATTTTTTTCAAAAAGGTAAAAAAAGGTTCTTTTCTAGAATTTGTGATTTTGTGTCGTGGGCTCCTGCCCCCTTTCGGCCCCGGCAATTTTCCTTGGCTCCCAAAAGGCACCGCGAAGTGGCGCACGTGAGATTTGTGGCTCCAAACGATTGTGCACGGTGATTGGAGAGACCCAAAATCAAACGTTCACTTCGTATGGGTTTGTTTGTCGAATTTTTGTGTCGTGGCATTGGATTTGCAATTTTGGCATGTTGTGATTTCATGATACTCTCCCGTTTTAAATGATAGACCACTTTAGTTTGGGTATAGGTCAAGCTTTTTTAACTTTAACCAAGTCGAGCAGATTCACGAGTACAAAATCATTAAATTCGTGATACTCCCTCCGTTCTAAATTATAAGTCGTTTTGACTTTTTTGTTTCATCTATTTTATTATATATTTAGACATATTATTATATCTAAATGTATAGCAAAACGAATATAAAAAAAAAATTAAAATAACTTATAATTTGGAACGAAGGGAATAAGTGACTGCAAATGTCCTATAGACTATGGTGACCATCCCCACTGAATATTTTCCCTACATCTCTGAATGTTTTTCCTCCTACATTTCCTACGTTGTGGTTAGCATCAACGTGCTCCAGAGCGCAACTATCACCCCCACGTTTTCACTTGCTCACATGTATGTACTTTTGTTTCTTTTTGGTTTAGCTCATCCTAGCAACTGAATACAATTATACAAATCGTCGAAATGTCGAAAATTGACCATTTTGTCAGCTATAGCCTATAAGTAAGCACAGCTGCACAGGGTCTCTCGTGGCCTCATTTGAAATGCTTACTGCAACCACATTGAACGATCTATAATCGAAGCGAAGACCATGACGGCATGACCATGTATGCGGAGACCAAAAACAAAGACCAGACCTTGCAACAGCGGTTACAATGGCCACAGCTGGGACAACGTGATGTTACAATCATTTGGAAAAAGTCCACGTTAACTCCCTCAATTTTCGTAAAAGTTCGTTTTTCCTCTCTGAACTCCAAAACTGGGTAAAACACCTCCCCCAACTTTTAAAATCATTCATCTTACCTCCCTGGCTCGGTTATAAACGGCTTTGAAGACGGTTTTGTCCTTTTCTTTTTTATTTATTTCGTCTAAATCTTTGAAAAATCATAGTAAATCATGGAAAAATAAAAAAATAGAAAATCTAATTTTGTTTGACTCCACATGAGTAGATCTACACAGTGAACATATAATATGGTATGCTTTACCATAAAGTTTTTGCTGTAGCTTCAGATCTATGGTTTTCTGTAATTAAATGGAATAATTCTTAGCTACAGTTCTATAGTCCAATTGTGGTGAAATTTTTATGGTGGGCTAACTATTGTATGCTTAAACTGTAGTAAAAATTTCATTCTCATTGTATCATGTATAATTTAGTTATAGATTTTATTTAGGTTTATGCTTGTTAAATATAAATAAATCTATAACTAAGCTATAAATGAGCATGGAATTTTTACTACAGTTCAATCGTATAATAATTAGCTCACTATAAAAATTTTATCACAATTGGACCTTAGAACCGCAGCTATGAATTATTCCAATTAATTACAGAAAAGCATAGATCTAAAGCCATAACAAAAACTTTATACTAAAGCATACCATATATATTCACTGTATAAATCTACTCATGTAGAGTCCAACAAAATTAGATTTTTCATTTTATTATTTTTCTATGATTTACTATAATTTTTTCAAAGATGAACGGTTTTAAAAGTTGAAGGAGTTGTTTTGTCCGATTTTGAAGTTTTTCGAGAAAAAACGGACTTTCATGAAAGTTGAGGAGTTAATGTGAACTTTTTCCCAATCATTTCTACCAGCGATTTGACTTCTAGTCTCTCAATCGAAGATCGACTTTACTGCTGACAGTTGATGCAACAGGCGACCACACATACTAACCACGGTGTAGCAGCGATTTGAGCACCCATGTCTTGCAACAAGATTACCACATAACACAGAACAAGGAAACAGTAGGCCGTTAGCAGTCCAACACGCAGGTCACAGCTGCTTCCACACCTCACAGAGTTCAACAAAAACTTCGTATGGAAGATATACTCCTAATCCAAATATCTTAAGCGCCAACATTGTCAGTGATAGACAAGAAACCATAAGACACCATATAAATGTCTGGAGGAGCTCCAGACTGGGGTGCAGGAAAAGGCAAAGTGTCTAATACGGGCAGTTCTTAGGGAGGTTTCGGATCACATTGCTCTTCATCCCGATCTTGTTTCGCATCGTCTCGACCCCGGTCTTGTTCATTGCACGGAGAACTTTCAGCCTTACCATCTGCTCCTTAGACTGAACTGTCACCAAACCCATGCTCTTGTAGCTGCAGTAAAAACAGATAACATAAATAATGGTGCCAACCCAAAAGCTAGTGAAATAACACGAAGACAATGCAATGGAAAAGGGGGCAGCACAAAGATTTGGACCTGGAAGCCAGTGAAAGTGCAAGCGCGCGGTCTGTTGCAACAGAAGGCCGTGGTTTCTGGCGATAGTAGCGGATAAATTCCCTAGAACCAAGGGTTCTGACCCGAGTGCCTTTGTCACTCTTGTTTGTTATTACTAGCTCAGACCCACCGGTTCCCAGCTCAATGTTGTTGTTAGAGTCATCAACAGCAACCAACTGCTTACCTTCTGCATCAACATAACTGCAGCAAAAGTAATATTTTAAGATGCGTCCAAGCTTCATTGACTAGCAGAAACTAAGATTATCAACAATACTGACCATGGTATCAGAACAAATTCACTGTCTCAACCATCTATGTAAAAAATCTCCAAGCATTTTACCTTACCTTTCTATTTGTATGAAATATAACCCTAGTATTGTCCCACCATAAATGACTGAATAACAGTCTGCATTCTCAAGATTATTCTTTGCCAATGAACGAATGATGCACCAGTTTTTAAGCAATTTTATGAAATATCAGGAGATCACAACTCAACAGCACAACCCAAAGAGTAAGAGCATAACATGATCAGACAGTTAAGCATAACATGGTACGGATTTCTGAAATTCAAAAACACATCCAGCAACCTATCAACACTAATATGCCAAAGTATAGTTCATTATGACTACAATCCACAGTGCAATCCGACCTTCAAATGAATATGGTCTCAGTATGATCATTCCCTAAATGCTAAGGGATGGCCAATTACTCGATTCCCAAATTAAAATCATTTTATTTCAGAAACCTTTCCATGGTGCTTAGGAAAAACAGGAACAAACATCGACCATTTAAAAATAACAAACTCAGTAACAATAGAGAGCTTCACAAAACCTGCTGCTGTAATCATAGAAATCCTCAAGGTCAGCATCTTCATCATCTCCACCATCTCCATACCGCAACTTGCAATGCCCCTTTGCTTCCATGTGTTTCCTGACAGCCTCCAGACTGAAGAAGGGCTGGCATCTGTCATTGCAGTAGAGGCAGATAAAATCACGCTTCACCTGAAGGTAGGATAACCAATTCAACGTGAGGATTAAACTTCATGTTTGCACACATACAACATTCGATGTTACACTGATGAAAATGTATACCTTCAGCCCGACATAAGTAAGAAGACCACTGGGATCCTTCAAGTATTCACTGTCAGGTATGAAAAACCCATGCTTCTTATGCATATGGACCATGCAGTCTTCTATGGTGTCATGCTTCAGATCACACATGAAACACGACGAGATATCCAACTCTTCAAGATCAGCCATGTCATCATCTGATTTGGAGGACTGCTCATCTTCTTGCATGTTTGAAGTAGACTCATCAGCCAACTCCATCTCACTTGGGTCAACTTCAACCCACTCCTCCTCATTGTCGTCTTCATCCTCCTCTACTGCAGATGGAGCTCTGCGTGGGACTCGTTCAGGAAGTGGCTTGACTATTGTAATACCAGCAATAGAGGCATTGGGCTCCTGAGAGGCTTTCAAAAGATGTGATCGCGAGTTAAGATGCTGCTCATGAGCTTTCGAGCTCCTGTACTCCTTTCCACAAAGAGCACAGCTGTAAAGCATTGGGGTGCTTGCAGGCTTGCTCCCCTCCGCCAAAGCAGCTTGCCTAGCCAGAAACAGAGCCTCTGTGACACCAGGAACTCCAGCGACCTGAAGAATTTAACATATCAAGGACAAAGCATGACTGAAGTTCAGCACACAAGGAAGCAATAACATAATCAAACATACAAAAAGAAGTTGAACAGTTCTCCACACGTAATCTCCATCACAACCAGGCCATAATTACCAATATATGTTCGTTTTTCGGTCCATAAAAATATAAAAAGTATCCTGAATTTCTTAATTCTAATCAATTTTCATGACTGAAATGGAACTCTTAAGTATCTAGATGGACCCAATTTTAGAAATTACCAATCTGCAGCAGTATTTCTATATCTAAATATTCACATACAACTATCACAAAACAATAAAAATCGATAAAACTCAGGTGCAGAGGTTGGAGTTTTGCAAACATTCCAAGACCTTAGCTGTTAACAAAATCAAAATTCCGATACCAAAATGTCAAGACCCCTACGTTTAATCCTCAATTCATCTCATTCTAGTCCCCAAGGCAAGCCGCACGAACCGATGAACCTAATACCTAGGGTTCTACCGACAGAAGGTCGGCTGCGGCGGGGGCGACGTTACCTTGCGCTTGAGGTTGTAGCGGTGCCATTCGGAGCGGTAGTGGAGCCGCTGCTGCTCCTCGTCGTCGAACCCCGAGTTGCACGCGTTGCAGGTAACCGTCGGCATCCTCGCTCAGCTCTCTCTCCTCTCCGCTCGCTTCGGATTCGACTTGCTCCGGAGGGCACGGGCGGGGAGGACTCTCGCTTCTCTCCTTCCTCTCCTTCCGGTGCCGCTTCGCCTTGTACGCGGCGGCGCCTCGGTGGTGAAGAGTTGGGGGAAAGTGGCGGCGGGGCGGGGAAGAAGGGGGAGGAGGAGAAGTAGGAGAGGGCGACGCGGCCGCGTCTGGTGCTGACGTTGGCGCTTGGGTCAGTCAGGCCTCAGGCCTGCACCGCCTTTCGTTGTTGGGCTTATATTTGGGCCGCCCCGAACCGGGCTACGGGCCTACGGTCACGGCCGAAATTACCTAGCTGACCAATGCGCCTGCCCGCGGAAGCGGCACGGAAGCCAATTTTTTTTTCCCGCTCAAACGACTGCCGTCCCCACTCCGCACGGCCCCCACACGATCAAATCCCCTCCTCCTCGTCATCGTCCCCACCGAAACCGCAGTACCGTACCCGCGCCGACGCGAGCACGATGGCCGCCGCGGCCTCCTCCTACTTCGCCGGCCCGGCCATCCTGCCGTCGCAGCGCGCTGCCGCGGCGCCCGACAATTCCGCCGTCGCCACCCCTTCTCCGGCCAAGGTCCGTCCGTAATCCTCGATTCCTCTTTTTTTTTGAGAATTAATCCTCGATTCCTCGTGACCGATTTCCAAACCCTAAGTCACTAACCCCATTCGCCGCTCCGATCGCAGCAGTCGCGTGACCCCCGCTTCTCCGGATGCGCCCCGACCACCGTGCGTCACATCGCCCGCTCCTTCGCCGCCGCCGACGCCACTGGTGGCGGCGACCCTGTCATCTCCATTGACGGCGTCGACGCCACCAACGTAAGCACCCCCCGAGCCTCGGAATCCCTTCCTATAGTTGCATCCGCGCGGGTTCGCTTACCTCTGTGTTGCTCTGGGAAAATTCCCCAACTCGCGCGCGTGTAGGCTTGGATTCTGGGGAGGGCGGTGAGCGTGGTGAACATGGAGGTTGGCGTGTCATTCACGCTCGACGACGGCACTGGGAAGATCCCTCTAGTGCGGTGGTGAGTCACGAACTCGCGATTTCATTCATGTTTTCGCTAGATGCAACTGTGGCTGTACAGTATGTGAGAGTTTTTCATGAAATGCAGGATCACTGATGATATTGATGCTAAGGAAGTGTCTTTCGTCCAGTATGTATTTGATGTTGACAAGCTCTGAGATGCTTTTAATTTAGTCTTTACAAGTGATTTGAGATTTTGACATTTTGCTTTTAGCTATCGGGAAGTTGATATGGCATGATTGTTATTACTTGTTTGCTGGTGTATATGAAGGAATGGTTTGTACCTCAAGGTTCAAGTTACTCTTGTAGGGTTTAAAGCTAAGCAGCATAGTTTTGCTCGTTCTATTAGGTAAAGGATCTAAGTTTTCTTTGCTATTGATGGCCTTTCTACCACTATTTCTGTATGCATACAATTTTGGTTGGATTTTTAATTCAGGTCGAATGCTTGTCTTGTTAGCGAAATTTTATCAATATAATTTGTTACTGTAAAATGGATCTTAAACGTTCATAGAACGTGTTCAGACTGTTTACTCACTATTTACTAATCCAAATTTTGATTTGAGCATAAAGCTTGACTGCTGCTTCTACACTAATTTTTAAATAACGTTTTCAGTAAGATTAGGTTTGTCATAAGAATGGAATGCTAGTCTTGTTATTATTAGGATATTCTTATCAGAAGCATATTGGAATTTGAAATGCATAATTTTTTGAGGAAGATGTAAGGTCAAGTGGGCATACATTTTGTGTAGGCATTGCCTCCCTTACTTCTTAATTGTGGTCCCCTGCCACACATTTGGCTGTGGAACCATGGTCTTGCTCATACTAATTATTTCTGGGCTCTAACCAGTTATCTCACATATCGCTTCATTATTGTTAATTTGTTATTGTTAGGTGAAACTGACATTAAAACTTAGAAGGCCACATGCATTCTCATTGGAAAATAAGGCTGGTTTACTGTCTTTCCATGTTATACTTGTTCCTGTATATATTTTCTCTGTTTGTCTAGGCAATACACTCTTTTTTGAGCTTGCATTTGGCTAGGATTAACTTAAAGCTTTGTTGGTTACATTTCGTAGTAAATGATAAGCACTGTTGTCTGTTGATAATGGATCCTTATTCTGCACTAAAGAACTATATTTTAATTATAGTCCTTGCACAACTTCTTCCTTTGGGTTGATCTTCTGAAGCCTAGTGCCAGCTGCAATACAGTGTCATCTAGGCTGGAAATTGGATTACTCCCTCCGTCCCATAATAAACGCAATTGTAGGACCAAACACGTTTACCAAGGAATGATACCAAATTACAAAAATACCCCTGCACAGTTAAAGTCTCTGGAAAAAAGCCTGTGCGGAATGTTCGAGAAGACCCAAACATGTGGAGGAGGGCACCACATCGTTCATGAGCCTTGCGTCTGATTTTTTTTCTGCATGCAGCAGCTTACTCAGGATGGGTCCCACAAGAGAATATGGCAGCCTTTGCTCTATGTATGCATTTTTTGTGGGACAAATTTTAAACCGTAGGATAGCATTTTTTTGGGATGGAGGGAGTAGTTAATATTCTCTATATATTTTGTTACTTTCAGAGTGAGGAACGAGATAAGTAACTACTATGTAGAAATCTAGCTTATTATTGTAGCATATGTTTATGAATACTTGATCGTTTCTTGCCTATTTCTATCTGTAAGTATCAATACTTCTACCAGGATTTTTTTTAAAAAAAAAAACTTTTACCAGCTTCTTACAACTAGTACTTAGATCGTTGTAATTTTGTTTACAGGCACTTCATTGAGTGTATGTATGTGCATTTGGTAAATGTCCGGCCAAAGGTGATTAGAGCAAATGGCAATTTTTTGTGTTAGTTCTATTTTCATGATGTATGAAAGCACAAAATGTTATTTCCTTTCCATTTTGAAGATGCAAGGTCAACTCCCTAGCGCTGTTCAAGCAAATGTGTCTACTCACGAGATGCAAGCTCAAGTCGCTCACACAGTTCAAACAAATGCACCTGCTTATATGCCCTTCTCTGTACCCTTTTCTTCAAGTAAACCAAGGGCGATTCCCTTCATCAGTTCAGACAAACACATCTGCTCATGTACCCTTTTCTGGTGGAGTTAGAGAACAGCAAGTTCGCTTTACTCCTCAACCAAACCAAGTAAGAAACCTCTCAATTTTCTCATTTTTGAGAGTTTCTTGCTAAAGAAAAGTAGGTGAATCTATGAGTCAGTCGTGCCATTTGATATTTGAGATATGAATCTGATTGTGTTGATCCTGATCTGCAAATTTTACAGTTGAGCATTATGATATTCTGAATTGAGATAGTTCATTGCCTGTCCTAGCACTTTTCATCGCTGCCTTATTATATTTTATTCGCGAACTTATATCCTTCACTGCCCTTTCTCTTTGGGTAAGTATGTTTGCCTCTTGTAACTGATTGGTTGCGATAATTTTTGTTCAGTTTTCAGCTTACCCAAGTACTGGTGGACAACAGCACGATCTGCAGAGTAGGGTTTTGGAGGTTATGCAACAACCAGATATACTGTAAGATCGGCTTTGCTTTAAACTATGATAAAGGATAGAAGATCTTAAGTAGTGCTAAACTTTGGCCGATTTGCTTATTTGTGGTCACAAGCTTGAGAAGCCCTAATACCAATCAGTGATTGCAAGTTAGTTCCAGCCTTACATACATCCCTGATTTGCTATTTTGGTGCCCTGCATGTAGGAGTCTTTGAGTGTGTTCCAAAAGGAAAGTAGGAAATACACTTCCATTTTAAATGTGCACAAACTAATTTTATGTTCAAATAATAGGTAGAAGGCACGTAGATCAGCGTAGATTTGCGAGAGAGTGTAGTGGCATTCAGTCAGTTACATCTTTTAACATTTAAATGAATATGATTTTTGCTGCTTCATTTGGATATTATAATGTGATGATGACCTATGCTGTAACTTCATGGTTTGGTTACACACAGAGAAAAATGACCTAGAAATAACATGGAAATATTATAATCATTATTAGGATATGTATATATCTACATCAATTAGCGATTGATGGTGTTTCCCTAGATAGGCTAGCTGTCATGTATAGCCTAGGATAGTTTCCTTGTACAGGAAATAGCTTCCCATGTATGTAACTTCCATGTATGCCTATTGGCTATATATATGAAAGGCTCCCCACCCACATTGGGGTGAGTGGTGATTCTCTACCTTCTACAATCATAATGCACATAAAAAAAGTGGTCTGGTACCTACATCCTGTGTGTTTTCATGCACATAATGTGTGTTTTCATGGAGTTTCACAAATAATCTAGTAATCTGATTCCTTCTTGATCCTTTTGTTTGAAGTCTTAATAACTTAGGTGGCTGTATGAGCTTTGTCAAGTCATAAGTGTTAAAGCTATGGTATGTTACTTGCTGGCGATCTTCTGACTTTTCAAGGAATCAAGATACTTTGATTTGTTTGATTGTCTCCTAGTTTTCAGTGGAATCAAAATTCCCTGTTTGTCCAATTTTGCATTGGGCATCTTCTCAACTAAGATGTTTCAACACTCGCATTGATTTCCTTGCATGTATTCTTGTTTTGGAGTTCTGAATTGACTATTTGCTTTCACTTTTATGCAATGCACTTGAAAATGGAGTACATGTTGATGAAGTGGCAAGGAGATTTGGAATGCCAAGAGCACAAATTATGTATATAACTCTCCCCTCATGTATTTCATCACAAGCATATGCACTATGCTAAATCTTATATATCTTTAAACATGCAGGGTCACTGCCCAGCGTCTGGTCGATTTGGCCTGCCTCTATTCCACTATTGATGAATATCATTTCAAGTCTCTTTTAAATGGTTGATCAATGTTATCATCTTCAAGACTAGTATAATGGCATTTGAGATTATTGGCAGTTTTTAGGTACTGAATAGCATTCGTGTATATGCTTTAAGTATGCACATCTGGTACATGCATTTTTCTTTGTACAGAGCACTGAGCACCCGTTTTTTAGTTGCCAAGCAAGTTACTCAGACTGTCAGACATGCAGATCGGTTAGAAACTTAGAATGTCAGACCATGGGCATGCTGCAGTTGCTGGATGGATCTGCTTAGTACTGTTTACTTGTTTTTATTCTACTGGAATATACAGTGCAATCTTCTCATTCATTTCTTTCTATGCTTCCTTCCGGTTGCCATGCATGATCATCTTTTTTGGGCCCCTTTTTATGCTTATGAGTTATGAACTTATGATGTGATCTTGCCCTTTTTTTTAGTATGTTCACTGTCATAGATGACAATAACATGGTGCCCAGCTGCTCATCATGGATTTCAGCTTTTTTTTTTTCTTTTGTCAGTAAATTTTTGCCTGGTGTTTCTAGTTGAACTTGTGTTTCAAATATAGTATCTCTGTCTCATGTTTGCAGTTGATTTTGTGTTTCAATTGAGGGTGCCATGGGAATAGAATAAGAAAGAGTGGGAATGAATGAAAGAATAGGGGTTTGGTCTGAAAAATTCACTCTTCAACTTGTCAGGCCAACCACTTCATCGGTCTTACTACTCATATGTTAAACATATTCTCTTCTAGTTTAGGTTATCTTCTTTAGGCCACCTTGTCATAATAAGTCTATCTGCTCGGAACAATAATTGTGTACAATAGCTTCCTGAATCCTGAGGATGCTCACCTAAGTTTTTTTTTCTTTTTCGGAATCCATCTACTGATCAGAATTGTACACATGTTTATCTTAAAGCTAGTACGTCAAAGATTATTAATTGCCCTATCTAACTAACATCAGTTTGCTACTACATTCATTAGCGTTGGAACTCTCCACAGGTTATCCTAGATCCTACTACATTATATTATTCTTTTAAGATTGCATATAATAGCTCTTCATGAATTAAATATGAAGCATGTTTAGAAATAAGTCAATTTCTTGTAGTTGGTGACGTCTTAAAACACGTCCTGCATCAGGCATACTGTACCTGACATTCTGGTGTTGTTTTGATGTTTGGGATATTTCATACCATGTCTGATGTTTGTTCCTATATCTCACTCACATCAGTAAAGAATCATTTCCAAGTTTTTCAGAGTTGTATATGATATTATATTCCTGGATCAGGTCCATACTGTCCTGTGCTTCCCGGTCATTGTTTTGTTTTTGTCTTTTGATTATCCAATGTTATGTGGCTGTATGATTATAAATATGTTTCCTTACCTTAAACCATTATATAGGTGAACTAAGACATTATCGCAGTTAAATAGACAAATACAGCAGAGTCTCCTTTTCCAGCCCCCCTGCACATTTGATTTTCTTGAACCATGGCAGTTTCACTGCCTCATGATGACTGTTCATACCATTGATGAAATTTCAATCAGTAGCAACCTATTTTATTCGTTTCTGGAAGTTTTATGTTGGTAGACCACTAGTTTTTTTTTTTTTGAAAGAACTGGTAGATCACTAGTTCATATTCTAATGCCTGTTAGTGCAATTAAAGTCTGTTATAAGAAAATTATATTCAACTCAAACATGTGTACATTCATCCATGATCCGTGTACCAGCATTATTGATTAGTGTTCATTAGAACAGACTTCTGGAACCCGGCATTTCACAACTATCTAGCAGGAAATCAATGTCATAAATAAAGGGCTTGCTGATACTAACATGACTTTGTACCGTATTTGCTTCTCTTTTTTTTTTTTTTGGGGGGGGTTGGGTGGAGGGCCGAAGCCCCTACAGATAATTTTATTGAAATTAAGAAAGTTTACAAGCTAAAACAAGTATTTGCTTCTTCTTTTGGTTGGTTTATTGCGTCGTGAGACATCGACGTGGAAATCAAACCAAAACAATTCCTTTGTGTTGCATAAGGCTGTAATCCAAACAGTTTAAGCCGCATTTAAGGGAAAAGCATGTTATTAGCCTCGTTGAACAACACCTTTCATCCCTTTGCTGTGGAACATTAGCTGCTGGTCCGGTGGACTGTCAACAACAGCTGTTAACCATCAGGCAGCCCTTATCGTAGCATTTAGTTGGTGCAGCTGTGCAAGTGATGACCCTGGGAATTGCTCGCCTTTAATTTATTAACGAGAAAGAGACGCCTAGGCCTTGTTTAGTTTCAAAAACTTTTTTCAAAAAGTGCTATAGTAGTCATCACATCGAATCTTGCGATACGTGTATGGAGCATTAAATGTAGACGAAAAAAAACTAATTGCATAGCTTGGTGGAAAATCGCGAGGCGAACGTTTTGAGCATAATTAGTCCATGATTGAATACTAATTGCTAAATAAAAACGAAAGTGCTACAATAGCTAAATTCCCAAATTTCGCAGAACTAAACAATGCCCTAGTTCGCTGACTCTTAGATGAAGTCATGCCTAGGTTTCTCTTTAAAAACATGGTCTTATTTTCTCACATCATTTTTCTGTGCTCATTGGAAATGTTTGCTTTGTGATTTCCCTATGCTGCCACGTCATTCCCAATCACCCACGTTGTTTAGGCGCTGGGAACAATCCCAGTTTGGTTTGAACTTCGCTAACCATGCACTTGCGCATACTAAGGACAAAGGTAGGTTTGACCCTGCTCCAGCACTGAGCCTCTCTAGCTTGTCGTTTGTAAAGAACAAACAGGGCGTCGTGTCTTTCTCGATAGGCCAGATTAGGTCAGACTCGGCACGCCTGGACCTGCATCGGCCATGTGTTACCTCTCGTTTGGGTACCTAAACCGCCTACTAAAACCAAAACAGTGGAGGTGTGATTCCCTGCTGGACGCTGGCGACACGTAAAAGGGGCACGAACTCTTGCCCTACTATCTGATCACCGTCGGGCCGGTTGTGGTAGTCCACGATTCTTTTCTTGTCTCGCATCCTCCCAACTGACCTCCAGGAAGCTTGCTCGCCGAGCTCGAGACACGCCCAACAACTCCCATGGCCTCCAGGCCTTGGAAAGATGGACACCAGCAGCTGCTAGTACTCACCTGCGCGGAGGTCCTGGGGTCTGGGGCGGTGACCGCGCACGTCGCCCTGCTTTACCGGGCACATCTCGACCTGTTGCAAACTGCCCCTCGCCACAACCACAACCACAACCAGATGGAGAGATCAGAGATAGAGAGCTCTGAGCTCGAGACCACTTGGCAGGTAACCACCCGGCCGGTCGCGCTCCCGCAGCCCCTCACCTGCTCACTTTAAATTAGTGTCACGCTTGGTCACCTTCGTCCCAACTGCAACCCAGAGTCGCCAGCAGCAGCTGCGGCACCACACGCGCCTTTCATGCGCTAGTCCTAGTCCAGTCCAAACCTGTCCTGCCGCCGGCCGACGAAATCTCAGTTCGATCGCTTCTGGCTAAAACACATCATTATCCTCGCAAAATCGCCCCTGTTATGCGCAGGGCAAGTACACACTCTGACGTCTACATGTATGTATGCACAGCGTGTATCATGTCATGATCGATGTAGACTGGCATGGACGTATGGTACGAATATTTACTTTTCATCATCACATACACTAAACATTTCAAGAGAATCTTGTATTTACAAAGTGGGCCCCAACCCCCCCTTAGGACAAACTAGCAAAAACCCACATCACAGGTATCTAGTTTTTTTTTTTAAGAATGGATTTCTTTTCATGTCCTGACATGGGCTAATTGCTCGTAGTTGACGAGGAGGAAGAGGGGGGCGGGGTGCTGAAGTCCTCGTCGTCCTCGTTCTCGTCTTCATCGTCGTCATCGAGATCGTCGAACCACCATGGCTGCTCCTCGTTGCCGGCCGCCTCCTCGGGCATCGCCCACCGGTCTTGCCGGATCTCGCCGCCTTCCAGCAGCTCCAGCACCTGCCACCACGGACCACCGCATTTCATTATTACTAACATAACACTAACTGTTACAGGTAAACTAAGCAACAGAGGAGTGGACTGTAGCGTAGGACTGTAGGTCAGCCCGTAGCTGCACGCATGGAGACATGTGCTTCCGGTGTCCTGCCACGAACGCCGACCCTAAACTACGACTAAACTCGCCGGCCCGGAAACGTTAACCCAAAAAAGGAAAAACACTGCGAGTTGGCAGTAATATAAGCGCAGTGGTTCGGAAGCAGACAGGGGCGTCGGTACGGTGACCTGCCACTCGAGATTGACCTGTGAGTGATCGCGCACCTCGGTCATGGACGGCCGCCACGTCGCCGGCGCCCGGACGCACAGCGACGCCACGAACGCCACCCGCCGCGCCTGCTCGCCGTCGTAGTCGCCGCCGAGCCTCGGGTCCACCAGCGCCTCCGTCTTGCCGTCGCTCAGCAGCGGCCGGGCCTGCACGTATACGTTGTTCATTCGTTTCGTCACGACCAGTTTCTGTCAGTGGTCAGTAGACACACACACTACAACGCTAGTGCGGGTTGGAGAAACGAAAACGTCTTGTTTACATACGTACCCAGCTGAGGAGGCTCCGGTGGCTGCCGTCCACCGGCTTCCGGCCGGTGACGAGCTCCAGCAGGAAGACGCCGAACGCGAACACGTCCGTCTTCTCGTCCACGATCCCGTGCGTGTAGTACTCCGGCGCCAGGCACCTGATCGGGAAACCAAACATGGCTGATGAACTGAACTAACAGGGGAGTCGTCGTCGTCGTCGTCGATCATGAGCGACGACCGACCATCCATGGGTATGGGTTTACCGTTTACCGTACCCGAAGGTGCCTTCGATGGGCGCGATCGCCCGGTGCGTCCACTCCGACGGCAGCCACTTGGCGAGGCCGAAGTCGGAGATCTGCGGCTGCAAGTCGTCGGTGAGCAGGACGTTGGAGGCCTTGATGTCCCGGTGGATGATCCGCCTCCGGCACCCCTTGTGCAGGTACTCCAGCCCGCGCGCCGTGCCCACCGCAATGCCGTGC